GCTGTCATTGTTGTTTAGCAGGCCCAGGCTGGATTCGAACCCGCCACCTTAGGTGTATGTGGCTGGCGCCTTAGCCACTTGAGACACAGGCGCCAAGCCGAGAATCGGGCACTTTAAAGAGACAAATGAGCTTACCATTCTGAATCTGAGCCACTTTTTTGGATATCTCTCCAATAATCTGTAAAATAAATAAATAAATAAAAGGGAGTACATGCGTGACTTTTGAATATGTTTGAAAGCACAGGAAAACAATAATTCAAAAACAGTAATTCAAAGTACTTAACACACTGGTTGAAGAGTCACTTAGATAATAAGCAGCAAAGATTTGTTACTCCTACTAAGACCAGATTTACCCAGGATGTACCTGTCGTCTCCACTTCTCAGCTTTAGGCAGCTCCGTACATTCTGAGGCAAGGAAGGGTCTTCGTTCCTAAGAATCAGCAAAATAACACATGTTGCCACTATACTAGTTACAAACTTCATGCAACATTCACAACTGATTCAGGTCTGAGGTCCAAATGCTAATGGTCTACACGCACTTGAAGTTTCCGTTCCAGATGATCCTCATCAAGCCATAAACCTCACTTTATAATCTCCTTAGGAAAACATCCATTATACCTAGTACAGTGAAACAAAGCAAACAACTTCAATGCCTAGTAATACAGAGTTGGCTAAATAAACTAGATAATAGCCATTTCATGGCATATTTTTAATACTTAAGAAATGATTGCTATCAGTGTTTAGAACACAGCATAAATATGCCTGTGTTTGGGTGTGCGTACGTATACATATGCATGGATGTGAGGCTTCAAAAAAAACTAAAAAAAGAAAAACATCCATGGAATGGCATATATCATCTCTAACCTGGAGAGCATTTACTGGTTTTAGATTAGAGCTGCTCCCCACATCACACACTTGCTAATATTCAAGTTTAGAGCTGTCTAATAATAAGGTATCTAGTCATCATACTCAGAAGAACCAGAGAAACTGACAGCCAGGGCATCTCACTGCCTCAGCTATAGGGAGATACAGCTGGATTCAATGTACAGACCCATAAGCGTGCCAGCAAGTCCAGATAAATGGGAAGATTTAAAGTTTGAAGTCTGTCCACGAGGACGTTTTACTGCATTTATTCTTAATACTTTACAATTCATAAGGGAGATTTATTTACACCAACCTTCACTTTTCCCTCTTCCAACTGAGCTTGGCGAAATCTTGCTAAGGCCGTCCTACCAGGAATATAAAAGACTCCATTAAAACATGCTCAGAGATTTCTCATTACCCATGTTCCCAGATGGGGCAGACCTGCTCATAACCACATTTAATGTCATTCATACATATTACGATTAAGAAAGCATGGGGGCCAGGCACAGTGGCTCACGTTCATAATCCTAGCACTCTAGGAGGCTGAGGTGGGTGGATTGCCTGAGCTCAGGAGTTCTAGACCAGTCTAGCAAAAGCGAGACCCATCTCTACTAAAAACAGAAAAACTAGCTGGGCATTATGGCGAGCACCCTGGCTGGGGCAAGAGACTAGCTTGACTCCAAGAGTCTGAGGTTGCGTGAGCTACCACACTGTCTACCCAGGGTGGCAGAGTGAGACTCTGTCTCCAAAAACAAAAGAAAGCACAGGGTAGTCAATGGTTTCCATGTTCCAGGGAACAGACCCTTGGCAGTGCTTTGCAACCTTTTTATCTCACAGCACACTTAAACCTATACTCAAATTTCTGTGGCACACTCAAATTATGATTTTAAAAAGAGTAAAAAAAAGAACATACTGGCTCGGTGCCTGTGGCTCAAGCAGTTAAGGCACCAGCCACATACACCTGAACTGGAGGGTTCGAATCCAGCCTGGGCCCACCAAACTACAATGACGGCTGTAACCAAAAAATGGCCAGGCATTGTGGCAGGCGCCTGTAGTCCCAGCTACTTGGGAGGCTGAGGCAGGAGACTCGCTTGAGCCCAGGACTTGGAGGTTGCTGTGAGCTGTGATGCCATGGCACTCTACCCAGGGGGACAGCTTGAGGCTCTGTCTCAAAAAAAAAAAAAAAAAAAAAGAACATACTTACTGTAATCTGAACTTCTTTCAAAAATAATTTAATTAATGAACTTTAAAAATTTGGGGGGCACACCTAAGATCCTCTCACAGTGCACCAGCGTGCTGCTGCACACCAGTTGAAAATCACTGGCTATTTGTTTTCCTGAACACCCAGGTATCTAATTTATTTACATTGCACATAAGGACTGTGTGAAACTATTTACTGACACTAGGATGAGCAACACATCCAGATGTTAAAAGAATAATATCATGGCATGCTCTAGCTGTCATCGCACAACTCCTACACCAACCACAGGTGAACAAATGTGCATCTAATGTACATTCTAGAAGCTGTCAGACAATACTCACAGGGGTCAGTCACAGTGGCTCATGCCTATAATCCTGGCACTCTGGGAGGCTGAGGTAGGAGGATTGCCCAAGTTGAGGAGTTAGAGACCAGCCTGAGCAAAAAAGAGCAAGACCTCATCTCTAAAAATAGCTGGGCGTTGTGTTGTGGCGGATGCCTATAGTCCCAGCTACTTGGGAGGCTAAGGCAAGAGAATTGCTTGAGCCAAAGAATTTGAGGTTGCTGTGAGCTGTGGTGCCATGACACTCTATTGAAGGTGACATACTAAGACTCTGTCTCAAAAAAGAAAGAAAAGTCCATTCCTTCGACCTCTGCCCCCACCCCCACCGCCGCTGCCACCGCCTGCCAGGAAGGGAGGAAGAGGGAGAGGAGCCCACGTCGCCTGTCACCCAAGTCCTCCAGCCGCACCACTGGAAGAGTGTAAGATGTTCACCTGCACCCCTGCTCTGATCCGAGCTGGATCCAGAGTTGCATACAACCAATTTCTGCATCAGTGTTATCTCGACCAGAGGCTAGGACTGGAGAGGGCTCTGCAGTATTTAATGGGGCTCAGAATGGTGTGTCTCAGCTGATCCGAAGGGAGTTTCAGATCAGTGCAATCAGCAGAGACTGATACTGCTGCCAAGTTCATTGGTGCAGGTGCTCCAACAGTAGGAGTGGCTGGTTCTGGTGCTGGTATTGGACCAGTCTTTGGCAGCCTTATCATTGGTTATGCCAGAAACCCATCACTGAAGCAGCAGCTGTTCTCATATGCTATCCTGGGATTTGCCTTGTCTGAAGCTATGGGTCTCTCTTGTTTGATGGTTGCTTTCTTGATTTTGTTTGCCATGTAACAAATTACTGCTTGAAATGTTGACATTCATATTAATTACGGGTATAATTCTGTGTATCTTACTGTGACTCCGAAAACTGTAGTATTGGTGTCATGGAAATGTACGTTACTTCCAAACTCATTTCATTAAAGATAAAAACTTTCTTTTTTTTTTTTTTTTTGAGACAGAGCCTCAAGCTGTCCCCCTGGGCAGAGTGCCCTGGCATTACAGCTCACAGCAACCTCCAACTCCTGGGCTCAAGCGAGTCTCCTGCCTCCGCCTCCCAAGTAGCTGGGACCACAGGCGCCCGCCACAACGCCCGGCTATTTTTTGGTTGCAGCCGTCATTGTTGTTTGGCGGGTCCGGGCTGGGGATTTGAACCCGCCACCTTAGGTGTACGTGGCTGGCACCTTAGCCAGTTGAGCTATAGGCGCCGAGCCAAGATAAAAACTTTCAAAAAGAAAAGAAAGAAAAGAAAATACTAATGGGGAAAACAAATAGGGAAAAAAGAGAACGCTATATGCAGAGAAAGAAACAGCTTTTTATTTTTTTATTTATTTAACTTTTTTTTTTTTTAGAGACAGTGTCTCACTTTGTCTCCTTCAGTAGAGTGCCGTAGCATCACAGCTCACAGCAACCTCCAGCTCTTGGGCTTAGGGTATTCTCTTGCCTCAGCCTCCCGAGTAGCTGGGACTACAGGTACCCACCACAACGCCCGGCTGTTTTTTTGTTCTTGTTGCAGTTTGGCCAGGGCCAGGTTTGAACCCGCCACCCTTGGTATATGGGGCTGGCGCCCTACTCACTGAGCCACAGGTGCTACCCAGAAACAGCTTTTTAAAAAGGTTCATATACCAAGAGGAAAAAATGAGTTCTGTGGTGGTTATTATGTTACACAAAGTTTACAGCAGGATATGGGTTGATACTTACATGGCCTTTTCTGCATTTCGAGCCTGGAAGGAGAGAGAAGGGAAGAAAATTGCCAATGTTTAAAATACTTTTTTTCTCATTTACTTTTTTTTTTAATTAAACCATAGCAGTGTATTTTAAAGTTTTTTTGGTTTTGTTTTTGGATACTTAAGCAGTTAAGGTACCATTTACCTCTTAGTAAAAAGTTTTTTGAGACAGAGCCTCAAGCAGTCCCCCTGGGTAGAGTTCTATGGCATCACAGCTCACAGCAACCTCCAACTCCTGGGCTCAAGTGAGTCTCCTGCCTCTGCCTCTGCCTCCCAAGTAGCTGGGACCACAGGTGCCCGCCACAACGCCCAGCTATTTTTTGGTTGCAGCTGTCATTGTTATTTGGGGGACTCGGGCTGATTCAAACCTGCCACCTTAGGTGTATGTGGCTAGCACCTTAGCCCCTTGAGCCACAGGCGCAGAGCCTTAGTAAAAAGTTTGACAAGGATACAGCTACTAGCAGACTGTTTTAACTGCAATAAGAACAACAAAAAATTCAAACGGTCCCCAAATCCTTTGACTTATACAGTAATCCTCCATTAAAATCTTTACTCCTGGCCATGTGTCACTGTGGCTTCACACTTGGCTTAAGCCCAACAGTTTGAGGTTGCTGTGAGCTGTAACACACCAAGCACTGTAACCAAGGGCAACAAAATGAGACTCTGCTCAAAACAAACAAACAAACAAACAAAAAACACTTTACTCCTCCACTGTTCCTAATACTCCCATTTGTCCTTCAAATTTTACTTTATCTCCACTCCAGAAAGTTCCTTCATGACTTTCTTCTCCATTAGAGAAGGTGGTCCCCTTTATTGGGGTTTATATTAACCAGGAAGTTAACCATCACAATTCGCATCATAAACATTAACCATCACAACTTTCTCTTCCTTTGCAGTGGAATTTGGGGAATGTTAAGTCTCAAGACTAGCTTTTACAAAGTGAATTTACATAAGTACTGTGACACTAGCGTCAAGTTAATTATCCCTGCAACACAGTGTTAGGCAGAGAACGTTTTCTGGGTTGTAGTATAAACAGAAAGAATACTTGCTGAGTAAGGGACTCTTACTCCCAGCTCTTCTACTTACCATCCCTGAGAAGTAGTCTCTCTAAACTTCAGTCTCCCCATCTTTACAATTGGGATCATATCTCTTATACAGACAGCATGATGATTTAATGAGATAAATACAGGAAGGCGTCAGGCACACAGTTTATAGACACTCCTCCAAACGGAGTTCAGGCTCAGCGTCTGTAGCTCAGCAGCTAGGACGCCAGCTACATACACCGGGGCTGGCAGATTCGAACCCAGCCTGCCCCTGCCAAACAACAATGACAACTACAACCAAAAAATAGCCAGGAGCTGCCCCGGGCGCCTGTAGTGCCAGCTACTTGGGAGGCTGAGGCAAGAGAATCGCTTAAGCCCAAGAGTTTGAGGTTGCTGTGAGTCGTGACGCCACCGCACTCTACCCAGGGCGACAAAGTGAGACCGTCAAAAAAAAAAGAAAGAGAGAGTTCGGCTTAAATCTCCTTTCAGACTCTCCCTTTCAACTGATACGGAAACAAACCCGGCAAATGCTTAGTGGGCAAAGGAGCACAGCGGTAATTTGGGAAATATCCTCCCACGGAAAGGACTGCTTCTAATACTGGTATCTCCCTTTGGGATCTTATGCTCATAAATCTACAATGGCTTTCTTTTCTATAACCTCACTATAGTGTCCTGTGCTGCTGCTTCTTTTTCTTTTTTTAAACTATAGCTTACAACTGTGCTTCTTATAGGGGCTTCATTTAATGAAACTAATGTCGTAGCCAATACTTTGGTAACTAAGCATTATCTTTTTATCGTCACTATATGCATTTTCACATTTACACTCCATAAACCCTTCTGGAACACATAAAGAAGTCGATCGCGCTGGACCACAGCGATCATACCCTCATACACTTCCTGTCATTCATTTACCCAAGAAATGCTGAACACCTACAAGATGCCAGTTTTAGAAGTTAAGGAAGCAACAGTTAAGAGCTACCTCGTGAAGCTTCTATCTGGTGGGGCAGACCGAGAACAGACAAATAATCCCAGAAATACATAGTCTGCTCTTGATCTCCCCCGTGGGACTGGGGAACAGCTGTCTCGCGCCACGCACCGTGACCCAGAGTGGGGTCCTTGCGCCTGTTTCAATTGCCCTATCGGTTACGTGAAGAGCTTCGTCGGAATTAAAACCATGTCCACGATGGTAACGCGCAATTTTCTCTTTCAACTTCTGACAGGTAAGAGAGGCAGGATGAGAACATCCACGTTACCCCCGAGGAGTCTGAAGCCTGCAGTGTTGCAACCCTGAACCCCGACGTCACCAGCACCCCAGGAGGGCTGGGAGCCCTCACAGCTGCCCGTTCCCTCGCCCCTCCCTCCCCTGCCCGCCCAACTCACCATGGTGGAGGTGAAGGCGCCGCCAGCAGCCCCGCGTCCCCAGGCCGGACTGTCAGCCCTCACCAGGAGTCAGGATTCCGATTGCTCGCAGGAAGTGACGTGTCTGTCGGAAGGCTAAACGGGAAGGACCGGAACCAAGGACCGGAAGGGACCCGGACCAGCGGCCCGGCAGGGGGCCGTGCGGACACGCCCTGGGGGCGGGCTGCCCAGGGTGAATATGACGCCCCTAGGTGCTTGCGGAGGGCCGATCTTCGGCGGCTGGCTTTGTTCTCGCGATAACAACTTCCCGTGTTAATTATCGGTGCTGTGTTGGGCGAGGCGCGGTGGTGCACGTCTGTAATTTCCTGAACTCACTGGTTCGCGACCAGCCTGAGCAAGTGCCAGACCCCGTCTCTAAAAAAATAGCCGGGTGTTGTGGTGGGCGCCTGTAATCCCAGCTTCTCGGGAGGCGGAGACAAGAGAATCACTTAAGCCCAATAAGCCCAAGAACTTGAGGTTGCTGTGAACTGTGACGCCACCGCACTCTACCGAGGGCTACAAAGTGAGACTGTCTCTAAAAAAATAAATTGGTGCTATGAAAACCGGGCGTTGTGTGCGATTGTGTGGAAGGCCGCCTAGGGTTACTGTTGCTAATCTACTTATCCCAACGGCCCCATTTTGAGTCTTATGTGAGCGCAACTGTCCCGTTGTGGAAATTACTTTCCCTCATCTTGCTGACCACAGTCCGCACAATGGCCTGGGGCCGCGGGGCGAGCAAGTACAGCCCCGGCGCTGCAACCGGCCTCCGGGTGGGGGCGCTGGAGCGCTTCTCGGGTAAATCGGAGCAGTCGTGCTTCCTGGGGGGTGGAGCGGGCCAGACTTCCTAAACTCCTTTCCTTGTCATACACTTTATAAACTCGTCTCCTTAAGTCACTTGGCCTTTCATAGCTGAACTAGTGCTTGAGCTCACCCTCCGTGAAGACTGAATTTAACGTCCAGGAAAGAAAAAGCCAAACTTTAGGAGAGAGAAGGGTGATTGGACAAACGTGAGTCACGTCCCAGAGATGCGGTCATTGTGTGAGGGTACACTGCTGGGTCTAGAACCTCAGGTAAGGACCAAGAGGACAAAGGAGAGGCCAGTCAAGTTCCGATTCGTTACTCCCGTGCGGTGTGAGCAATGAAATAAGCTATGGTGGGGAAGGTATGCAGCAAGTTCAGCCAGTTAACAGCAGCTTTCCCTTTCAAGCACACTGGCCAGGGGTGGCCACCCAGCTGCAGCCGGGAGGCCCAACCCAGAAAGGGAAGCATCTGACATACAATTCAGCATCAGACAGGACAAATACTCGGAATAGTCACTAGGACCTCATTCCTGGACGGGACAAGGAACAAATTTTCTCTACAAGCTATATGGCTTCCCCAGTACAGACTCGATCTCCCTGCCTCTCTGGCAGCTAGGTTCAGGATTAAAAAATGACCAGCAGTTGTTTTGTCACTTAGGCGACACCCATGAAAAGAGCAGACATCCTTTCTCCTTTTTCCCATCTCTGCTGAAAAAATAAACAGGAACAGCCAATTTAAACGCACAAACAGTACTGTGAGGGTGCAAGCAAGTCCCTCTTCCAGCTCCAAAATACGGAGCTCTATAAAAAGAAAAATGTCAAGATCACTGCACTCAGGTGTCGTTACAGCAGCTTAACATTTCCTTTAAGTATCTGATCCCAAACCACTAGTCACTCCTCAAATGAGACTTTTTAGACACCGCCATACCTTTACTCACTAAATCCCTGACTCTAGGATGCAGAGATCACATGCAACAGGATTCAAAAAACATTACCTATACTGATTGCCCTAGAATCCACTGTCCCTATATACTCACCCGAGTTTCACTTGGGACTGGTTTCTGAAGGGGACACTTCCTAGAGTGGTACTGGGAGCTAGAGCAAGCTAGTCCATAAGTGCTGTCTCCACAGTCACTACCGTTAGGCTTAAGACTCAAACCGACCTAGTCAGGGAGTCCCAATACTTGCTTGCAATTCTGGGCGGAATATAACCTGCTGGATGTCAAACCAGATATAATACCAGAAACTGCTGTCAGCTACTTTTGGACTCAGAAGAGGGGACAAGACTCACTACTGTTTGGTGGGATCAATGAACTGATAACGCCCTGACTCCAACTGACTACTCAACCAAGTCCCTTTAGCGTTAAAAAAAAAAAAAGTAAGAACCAGACTTATCTTGCCCATCTACTAAATGGCCTTCTTTCTCTGCTTCTGTGGATCCTTTGTTCATGCTGCTCCTTTGGTCTGTCGCACAACTCCTCCACCTGCCTAATCAGCCTAGTTGATGCTTATCATTTCACAAACTGTATTCATAACCTGGTTTCACCACTTATAAGCTGTGTGGCCTTAGATGACTTACCTTTTTTTTCTTTTTTATTTTTTGAGACAAGAGCCTCAAGCTGTCCCCCTGAGTTGAATGCTCTGGCATCACAGCAACCTCCAACTCCTGGGCTCAAGTGAGTCTCCTGCCTCCACCTCCCAAGTAGCTGGGACCACAGGCGCCCACCACAATGCCTGGCTATTTTTTTGGTTGCAGCTGTCGTTTGGCGGGCCCGGGCTGGATTTGAACCTGCCACCTTAGGTGTATGTGGCTGGCGCCGAGCCGACTTACCTTCTTTATGTTAGTTTTTCCTGTGAGTTGGCATATAGTATTTACCTTTTAAATGTTCTCATTTTTCCTCTTACATGATAATGGGACATTAGGTTTACAGAGTTAGTTTAGAGGAGACATGTCATACCAAGTACTCAGATCTATGTTCTTTTCAGTGATGAGTTCTAAATAAAAAAATTTCAAGCTGTGCAGTCAGGCTTATTATGAAGCCTAACCTAACCCCTAGACAGTCTGTTGGGCCTGTCTCAGGGCCTTGTATAACTTCCTCAAAAAGCTCTGATTTACAGGCCTCTCTCTCAAATCTTTTTTTTTTAAATCTCTATCACCACCCCTGGCCCTGACATGTAAGATTTGATGGCTGAATAGTGAAAGAACGAAAATAGCACTGCCCTGCCTTTTCCGTGCTGACAGTCCCAATTTATATTTGACTGAACATTTTTATAGCACTCTGTACTCAGTATCAAAGTAGGTATCTATGTATTTCTATTTATCTACACAGTTGTCTCCCTGTACCTTTGGGGAACTAGTTCCAGGTTCCCACATCCCTACCCCCCAAATCTGCAGATGCTCAAGTCCCTCAGATAAAATGATATAGCATTTGCATTTAACCTACTGACATTCTCTTGTGTACTTTAAATCATCTCTAGATAACTTATGCTTAACACAATGTAAATAGTTTATATTGTACTTTTAATTTGTCTTACTTTCATTGTTGTATTGTTACATTATTGGTATGTTTTTCATTTTCACTATGTAGTTGGTTGAATCTAAAGATAGGGAGGGCTAAGCCTATCAGTTATCAATATATGCCCCAACTGTGACCTAGCATCACATCACATTACTAATCCTAAAGGGACAGTTGTAAACTTCAGTCTAGCGGGCTGAATTTAACCTACAAGTCTCCTTTGATTTACACGTTATAAAAATTGGAAAAATCTGGCAGGGCATAGAGGCTCATGTTTGTGATCATTGGCACTCTGGGAGGCCAAGGCATGTGGATTGCTTGAGCCCAAGTTTGAGACCAACCTGAACAAGAGACCCTGTCTCTACTAAAAATAGAAAAACTAGCCAGGCATTATGGTGGGTGCTTATAGTACCAATTACTGGGGAGACTGAAAAAAGAGGACTCCTTGAGTCCAAGACACTTGAGATTGCTGTGAGCTGTGATGACACCACAGCACTCTCCCCAAGGTGACAAAACGAGACTCTGTCTCAACAAAAAAATGTTGATTTGGGGTAACACTGAACCCACAGTTCTGCATAGCAACCACTCAGGTGAAAAATTCTGGTATTTTATTAGCCCATGTGTCATAAGCAGGTTGAATTAATGTACATTAAGTGAAAAAACCGCAGTATTAAAGAGATCTTTTCCATCTTTTTGTGACACAGCAAGAGAAGACACATATGTCTGACACCCACCCCCTAGCACTTATACAAGGGCCTCACTGTCCTCCACTAATAAGGATTCACTAGTAAGGAACTAGGGAAGCTCCCCCAAAACATCCACACCCTCATTCCCCAAACCTGTAAATGTTACCTTACACAGCACTAGGGATTTTCCAGGTGTGAGTAAGGATCCTGAGATGGGAAGATTACCTCAGACTATCCATTGAGAAAACTAAAGCTCAGTGGTTAGGATGCCAGCCACCTATACCAGGGCTGGCAGGTTAGAACCCGGGCCAGACCTGCTAAACCACAACAAAAAAATAGCCGGGCCTTGTGGCGGGCGCCTGTAGTCCCAACTACTTAGGAGGCTGAGGCAAGAGAATTGCTTAGGTCCAAGAGTTGGAGGTTACTGTGAGCTGTGACACTACAGCACTCTACAGAGGGCAACACCGTGACTCTTGTCTCAAAAATAAACAGACAGACAGACAGATAGAAAGAAGTTGGTGATTTAGACACCAGCCAAAGAAAACAGAAAAGCCTCTGGAAGCTGTTAGACAAAGATTCTCCCCAAGAGCTTCAAGAAGGAAAGCAGCCCTGCTGACGCTTTTTTTTTTTGCAGTTTTTGGCTGGGGCTGGGCTTGAACCCATCACCTTTGGCATATGGGGTCAGCGCCCTACTCCTTCGAGCCAAAGGCGCTGCCCCCATGTACCAAGGGTGATGGGTTCGTGCCTGGCCCCAGCCAAACTGCAACAAAAATATAGCCAGGCGTTGTGGTGGACGCCTATAGTCCTAGCTACTGGGGAGGCTGAGGCAGGAGAATCACCTAAGCCCAGGAGTTGGAAGTTGCTACGAGCTGTGATGCCATGGCACTCTACCAAGGGCAATAAAGTGAGACTCTGTCTCTTAAAAAACAAAACAAGACAAAAAAAACCCTTTCCCCCCATTTAAAAAAAAAAAAAAGCTTGCAGTAATCTGTCACAGCAACAATATAGTACGTGCTGTACTTTGCAACTAGACAATGGGCAGAGGTTGGAAGAATTGAGTGTGACAGACAAAGACTAGAAAGCCTTGACAAGAGTGTAAAAATACTTTAACAATTCTGCTAAGGAGGGCTCCAAAGGAAGTAAGTTTAATAGTTTCTCTATAGTCTTAGAGAATACTTGACTCACGAGACTATTTGTAAAACTGTGGACATTTACAGTGCTGCTGGTAAGCAACATGTTTTTGGAAACTGGAGAAAAGGGATCCTTAGTAGCAGAAACCACTGCTTATAGTGGTTTATAGGACACATTTATAGCACAAATGTGTCCTATAATTTACCAACAATGATGAATTTGCATATCTAATTGAAGTTTTGTGGTTTCTTCTTGTTGCTTATAGTGAAACACAAGAAAGAGATACACTGAGGGAAGATGTGAAGCACAAAGACACCAGGAATTGACTTGGGAAATTCTCAGCTTATCAGGATAGCAAAGAATGCTAAAATTGGGGGTGGAAGACGGCAGAGAGTTGGTTATTGAAGGTGGGTGACAGCTACAGTGAAATTCAATGAACTATTATCTCTCCTTGTTTAAAATTTTCCACAATAAAAAACGTTTTTCAAGTTACTCTCACATCAGTTAGGCATGGTTGCTCACAGCTATGATTCCCAGCACTTTGGGAGGCGGAGCAAGATCTTGAGGCCTTGCGTTCTAGACTAGCCAGGGCAAAGTAACAAAACTTTATCTCTACAAAATATTTAAAAGATTAGCTGGGCATACTAGTGCACATCAGCAGTAGTAAGTCCTAATTACTTGAGGC